ACTCTTTTGGTGAAGTCTTTTGAAGAGCATAGGTGTTTGATTTTTAGAAGATCCCAGTTATCTAGCTTATCTGTTGGGTTTTGGGCGTTGATGGTTATGGTTTGTATTATAGGCCTCTTATTTTAATGCAGTGAAATTAAAATTTAACAACAAAAGATTACCAAAATGTTCCATCCACTTAGAAATTGAAAATATATCCTTTAAAATGAGATTAAAAATGAAAATATAAACTAATTGGAAATTAATGACAATTAAGATTACTGTATATCTAAACCTGAGAAATACAGCCAAAGAGATCCTCAGAGAAAAAATTATAGCCCTGAATGTATATCTTAAGAAAACAAGACAACTTAAAATATATTCACTAAACTTTGAACTCAAGGAGCTAGAAAAAGAACTATTCTTAAGGCAATTTTTAATAAAATAAGAGATTACTTAAATTAGGAAATGGTTGTCATTTATACAAAATTTTAAATAGAAGCCACATTAATGATATCACCAATTTCTCTTTTAGTTTAATATAAGTAAATAAATATTTGAGCACTTCCTATGTGTCAAGAACAAGCCACTTAATTTAGTGTGATCTTGGTTACTTTGTACATGAGTGATTTAGATCGATTTTTTGAAAGGTCCCCATTTCTAAAACTCAGAGAATCTATGGCTATTGGTCTAGTGCTCTTTCCACTCTCAACACACAGTTTCTGAAGGCCATTTCACAGAATTTCACAAGTCAGCTGCACATAGCATTTGAGCTGTTTTGGGAATATATATGTTTTAAAGTTTTAAGATACAATTCACATAGCATACAATTCACCCATTTAAATTATACAATTCAGTGGTTCTTAGAATATTGACAGAGTGTGCAACCATCACCATGATCACTTTTAGAATATTTTCAACACTCCAACATGAGCAGTCACTCCCCTTCTTTCCCTCCCCAGTCATGTTGTTGATGATGTTGTTAGTTGCTGTGGAGTTGACTCCGACTCCTGGTGACCTTACATATAACAGAATGAAACGTGTGGTCCTATGCCATCTTGTTGGTATGTTTGAGTCCATTGTTGTGGCTTATTGTCAGTTCATCTTATTGAAGGTTTCCCTCATTTTCTCTGACCCTCTACTTTACCAAACATGATGTCCTTTTTCAGTGATTAGTCTTTCCTGATGACGTGTCCAAAGAAAGTGAGCCCAAGTCTTGCCATCCTCACTTCTAAGGAGCATTCTGGTTGTTATTAGTTGCCATCAAGTCAGGTCTGACTCATGATGACTTTATGTATAACAGAACGAAATGTTGCCATCTCCATGATTCTGTCTCTATAAATTAGTCTATTCTGGACTTTTCATAAAAATAGAATCTTATATCATGTGGTCTTTTGTGACTCATTTCTCTCCCTTAACAAAATGTTTTCTAAGGTTCATGTATATTGTAGCATGTATTCGTACTTCATCCCTTTTTATGACTAAATGATATTCTGTTGTATGACTATATTACATTTTGTTTATCCGTTCATCAACTGATGGAAATTTGGGTTGTTTCCACTTTTTTACTAGTGTAAGTAATGCTTCTATGAACATTCATGGAGAAGTTTTTATATGGACGTATGTTTTGTTTCTCTTGGGTATATATCTAGGGGTGAAATTGCTGGGTCATATGTAGCTCTGTGTTTAACATTTTGAGGAACTGCCAGACTGTTTTCTAAAGTAGATGCACTATTTTACATACCTACAAGCATTGTATGAGGATTCCATTTTCTCTACTTTTTCATAACACATCTTATCTATGTTTTTTATTATAGCCATCTGAGTGGATATAAAGTAATATCTCATTGTGGTCTTGATTTGCATTTCTTTAATGACCAGTGATGTTGAACATCTTTTCATGTGCTTATTGGTTATTCAGTATATCTTTTTTTGAGAAATGTCTATTTAGATCCTTTGCCCATTTTTAATTGGGTAATTTGAATATATCCTTTTTTTAACATATATGTATAATTATGATTAAACTTGTACAATTGTGAAGTTGTATCACTAGACAACATATAAAGAAGTGAGATTTCATTCGTAAACCAACTTACCAGAATATTTACCCTGAAATGTGTACTGCCAATCCAAAGTTGTTAGCTTCAGAGACATCCACTATTCCAAAGATGTTGTCACTGTTCCTCTTTAGGAAGTGCCTTTGTGTGAGTTTTGCCATATGATTGAATATATTCTTATTTATGGTGTTCATGCTTTCTGCTGGAATACTCCTAAATTCAGAAATTCTCTTTCATTCCCTCTCGTGAATCATTGACGTGTCCCACAGAATCCAACAAGCTGTATCTCTAAGTCTCCTTCTCCAATTCAGAAGCAGTAATAAAGCTTCCTGGCAGAATATGTCCCACTTTTTTATTGGAAACACCTAGTCATTATAGGTAGCGTTTATCCTATCTTCCCTGATTATGGTCCTTTAATGCCAATTTAGTGATTATCTGTTCTCTTATGAACTAAGAAACATATATAGGACCACAGTACATTGTTTCCAATTTAGCATTTTGCAGTATTATGTATATGTACACACATATATATATGTATGTATGTATACGGAGCTCTGGTGGTGCAGTGGTTAAGAGCTATGGCTGCTAACCAAAAGATCGGCAGTTCGAATCCACCTGCTGCTCCTTGGAAACCCTACAGGGCACATCTACTCTGTCCTATAGGGTCACTATGAGTCAGAATTGACTCAGTGGCAGCAGGTTTGGTTTTTTGGTTTTGTAATGGTAGATAGATAAATAGCTGCCATCGAGTTGACACTGACTCATGGTGACCTTATGTACAAAAGAACAAAATGTTGCTCAGTCGTGCATTATCCTCATGATTGCTGGATGTTCAAGTCCGTTACTGCAGCTGTTGTGCCAGCCCATCTTTCCAAGGGTCTCCTGAACCCTTGCTGGCCATCCACTTCACCAAACACGATGTTGTACTCCTGCAATTGATCCTCCCTGATGACATGTCCAAAGCAAGCAAGTCAAAGTTCTGATGTGATCCATACTTTTTTTTTTTCCCCCCTACTTTTTAGAATGCCTAATATGCTAGTATTATTTCTTGGGAAAGTTAGCAGGTGATCTCAGTCATTGTAGAATCTCAGTCTTGAGCGCTAAATCAACCAGTCTTATGGGTAGTACCTCAAGACGGCCTCCCTTTTTGTGGGATATAATTTGGGTTCTTCAGAATGTGTAATAATATTTCTTTTCTTTTCAGGTTTTTCAGGCAGAAAATCCCTTTGATTTTATGGAAAACATTTCTTTAGAAGGGAAAACAAATTTCTTTGAAAAACGAGTTTCAGAGTATCAGCGTTTTGCAGTTATGGCGGAAACCACAGATAATGTCTTCACCTTGGATGCAGATTTTTGAAACTCTGCCCATATCTAAACCTGTCATTTGTAAATATTTTTTTCCTCTGCTTCCTCCCCCGTCTGCTTCTTTTTAGACAGCTTCATGTTTGAAGGAAATTCTGATATTTCTGAGGTTTTAGGAAGGAGAGGATTTGATCCTCCAAATTTTTGGCTTAATTCTGATAAAGAAAATATAGGTGGAAATGGAAGACAGATGAATGGTTTTTCTCCTACAGATAAAAATACAGCAATTCAAAGACTTTCTGATTAAGCTTATAATATTCTTAACTTATACATTTGACCATGTTTTGCAAGTATGTTTTAATTTTTCCAAATGTCTAGTTATTTAGTCAAGTTATTTAGCATGTACTGTGTATATAGAGGAAACCCTGGTGGTATAGTGGTTAAGTGCTACGGCTGCTAACCAAAAGGTTGGCAGTTCAAATCCACCAGGCACTCCTTGGAAACTCTATGGGGCAGTTCTACTCTGTGCTATAGGGTCGCTATGAATTGGAATTGATTTGACGGCAATGGGTTTGGGTTTTTTTTGGTTTGCTGTACATAGAAAGCTTTACCAGGTGTGGTGTATCTTAACATTTTTTTGCTAAAATGTGTATGGTCAATCAAACCAACTTTGCATATGTAGCATTCAGAGTTTTTTTTTCCAAAGAAAGAAATTGTTTTTATTTTGGTTTAATATGTTGAAATAAACTGTATCATAACTACATCATGTTGTGTATGTTCTTTTTGAGTAAGTGCAGGGGCTACCCTAATCAACCCACTGCCGTCAAGTCAGTTCCAACACATAGCAACCCTATAGGGTTTCCAAGGCTGTAAATCTTTACGAAGCAGACTGCCACATCTTTCTCTCACAGAGCGCTGCTATTGTCTGTTAGTGTGAACAGATAAATATGTACTTGTAATTTTTTTTTTTTTTTTTTTTTTGTGGATTATGGACACACGAGAGATATTCTTAGAGTCAGTAGAGAAAAAATAACAATATAGGAGCCTCAAATCTAGCCATATAGGGGCCCCAAATCTAGAACCTAAGAACTTGGCAGTAGATTTCTTGATACAAAGGTCATTTCTTCTCTGTGGAGTCATTACTATCAGAGTGTTTGAAGAGAATAGCTGTTTGCCCTTCCTGCTGAGACTAACAGCCACTTACTTCTGGCAACTGCTGCTCCCACTCCAATTGTATGTTTCTCGTGAGGCTGTCAATACTAGTAACTTCATCTGTCTGGGCACAGGGTTAGGCATGTAATCCAGGCTGGGCCAGAGTCCTTACCTACAGTTTTTCTAATTGAAACTAAAGGAAGAGGAACCTTTTATTCTAAGACAAAGCGAGAGAAAAAGACCTAGTTCTAAACTCCCCTGAGGCCCAAATGTATCCCTACTTGCACCAGTTAATTATCAGGGTATTAAGTGTCCACTTCTTGCCTAATTCAAGTTAGGTCTCTTGATTTGCAACCAAAAGGATCCTAATTAAAACAAATTGGTTCCTAGAAGCAAAAAAAAAAAAAAAAAGTGACTGGAAAGAATCAAGGTGTTCGTATGTGTATCAGTCAGGGGCCCATCTCAAATTAGGATAATTCAGGGAGGGTTTGATAAAGGGACTATTTACAAAGTATTTCAAGTGATAGTTCCTAAAATATGTAATTTATTTATTCCTTGATTTTATAAATTTCATCTGAGTGAGTGCCAACTATGTGCAGACACTGTACTACATGAGCAAAAATACTGTCCCGTCTTGGTCTGGTGGGATATAATCAAAGAATTACACATATGAGTGTATAATTTTAAACTGTATGAGGTGTTAAAAGTACCTAGTTTTTTTAGAGTTAACACAGAGGCTCCTGGCATGGTCTATAATCATGTTTATCAACCCCATCAGAACTGGAACAGTAACTATCCACTCAGGATAACAAACTTCTCTAGATATTTCAACCAGAGGGATTTTAATAAAAGGAACTATGAACATAGGTGGTGGAGGAGAAGAAGAGAGGCCAAAGAGGACTCAGAAGTGAGTTACAACAAGAAACAATTACCATCCCTAAGGATGGAAGGACAATGGGAATAAGTAATGTTACCAGAGTCCAGAAGTTGGGGCAATCTGGCAGAGACGACAATCTTAGGGAAGACACAGCTGCTGCCGCCAGGGGGGCCAAAGGGTGTTGTGGGGGAGAGGGGAGCAGAAACATTCTGGCTTTTGCCCCCTGGCTGCCCTGTAGTCAGATGATACACCCCATTGACTCCAAACTACCTAGAACTCAGATGGCAAGGGAGCCTGGGAGATGCAGTTCCCTGTGATAGAAAGCTAGGTAGGGGAAAGGCAAGGAATGGATCTGAGGACAAACAGGCTATCGCCCAGCACAAGACTCACTGTCTCCCTTCTGTAACAAATATTTTGTAATATCTTGTTTGTCATCCTGAAATGAAATCCATAGATAATAGAAGTTGCCTATACATATAATTTCAAAAGAATGAATGTATTTCCCTAATTGTAATATTAAGAAGAAATATATGCATTTCAATATGTAAATACTTGTATACAACTTCATTGTTGTCGTTAGGTGCTGTGGAGTCGATTCTGACTCACTGCGACCAAGTGTACAATAGAACGAAACACTGCTCGGTCCTGCACTATCCTCACAATCTTTGCTATGTTGGAATCCGTTGTTGCAGCCACTGTGTCAGTCCATCTTGTTGAGGGTCTTCTTCTTTCACTGACGCTCTACCTTACCACTGTGGATCATGACAAATTATGGATAACATTGGTAACAACAGGAATTCCAGAACAATTAATTGTGCTCATGAGGAACCTTTACGTCGATCAAAAGGCGGTTATTTGGACGGTGGTTTAAAGTCAGGAAAGGTGTGCATCAGGGTTGTAACTTTTCATCGTACCTATTCAATCTGTATGCCGAGCAAGTAATCTGATAAGCTGAACTATATGAAGAACGGGGCATCAGGATTGGAGGAAGACTCATTAACAACTGCGTTATGCAGATGACACAACCTTGCTTGCTGAAAGTGAAGAGGACTTGAAGCACTTACTGAAGATCAAAGACCACAGCCTTCAGTATGGATTACACCTCTACATAAAACAAAAATCCTCACAACTGGACCAATAAGCAACATCATGATAAATGGAGAAAAGACTGAAGTTGTCAAGGATTTCATTGTACTTGGATCCACAATCAACACCCACAGAAGCAGCAGTCAAGAAATCAAAAGACTCATTGTATTGGGCAAATCTGCTGCAAAAGATCTTAAAGTGCTGAAAAGCAAAGATGTCACCTTGAAGACTAAGGTGCACCTGACCCAACCCCTGGTGTTTTCAGTTGTCTCATATGCTTATGAAAGCTGGACAATGAGTAAGGAAGACCGAAGAAGAACTGATGCCTTTGAATTGTGGTGTTGACGAAGAATATTGAATATACCGTGGACTTCCAAAAGAACAAACAAATCTGTCTTGGAAGAAGTACAACCAGAATGCTCCTTAGAAACAAGGATGGCGAGACTATGTCTTACATACTTTGGACATGTTGTCAGGAGGGATCAGTCCCTGGAGAAGGACATCATGCTTGGTAAAGTACAGGTAAAGTCAGCGAAAAACAGGAAGACTCTCAGGGAGATGGATTGACACAGTGGCTGCAACAATGGGCTCAAGCATAACTTGTGAGCATGGCACAGGACCGGGCAGTGTTTCGTTCTGTTGTACATAGGATCACTCCCCGACTCCGCGGCCCCTAACAACAACTACCTTACCAAGCATGATGTCATTCTCCAGGGACTGGTCCCTTCTGATAACACGGACAAAGATGTGAGACAAAGTCCCAAAAGCTTTACTCCATCCACATCATTAAGGTTGACTCTACTTCAGGGAGGCAGCTCTTCCCCAGTACTATTTTGAATGCCTTCCTGCCTGTGAGGCTTACATTCTGGCAGTATATCAGGCAATGTTTCACTGCTATTCATAAGGTTTTCACTGACCATTTTCTTCAGAAGTAGACCACTAGGTCCTTCTTCCTAGTTTGTCTCTGAAAGCTCCGCTGAAGCCTATCCATCATGGCTGACCCTGCTGGTGTTTGAAATACCAGTGGCATAGCGTCCAGCATCATGGCATCACGCAAGCTGCCACAGTACGACAAACTGACAGATTCGTGGTGGTATACAACTGTCGTGGATTGAATTGTGTCCCCCAAAAAATGTGTGTATCAATTTGGCTAGGCCATGATTCCCCAGTGTTGTGTGATAGTCTTCCATTTTGTGATTGTAATTTTACATTAAAGAGGATTAGGGTGGGATTGTAACACCACCCTAACCCAGGTCACATCCCGGATCCAACGTAAAGGGAGTCTCCCTGGGGTGTGGCCAGCACCACCTTTTATCTCTTGTAAGAGATGAAAGGGAAGCAAGTGGAAAATCAGGGACCTCTACCACCAAGAAAGCAGTGCCAGGAGCAGAGCGTGTCCTTTGGACCCAGAGTCCCTGCGAGGAGAAGCTCCTAGTCTGGGGGAACATTGATGAGAAGGCCGACAGAGAGAGAAAGCCTTCCCCTGGAGCTGACGCCCTGAATTTGGACTTTTAGCCTACTTTACTCCGAAGAAATAAATTTCTCTTTGTTAAAGCCATACACTTGTGGTATTTCTGTTAGAGCAGCACTAGATGACTAAGAAACAACTTTACTGAAATATTTAATGAAGTGGTCGGATGCTTGCTCTCACATGTAGAATTACAATGAATGGGACAGTTATAATGTAAACTTCCTGATGTGTTGTACTGGCAACTCAAATAAGAGTAGCATTGTTTTTGGTGACACTATTTTCCAAAATGCTGAATGTGCCAGGTGTTTTTGTTGACACTCAATACCAAGCCTGCCTTTTAAACATTTCCCTATATTGCAAAGTCTAGAAGTCTGCAAACTATCCTTTCCAGACTCCTTGCCAGCAGGGTTTCAGTTTAGATTCTACTATTGAGAGGCATAGACACATGAGTTTTGGAAGGCAGAAGAGAAAAAGCCACTAATCTCCAGCAGCAGCTATGGACAGACTCAACCTTTTGGCAAAGATGAGAATAAGGGTATGAGAAAGTTAGACTCATGACGGGGTAGAGGATCAAAGCACAGGTGAATGAGAGTTCTTGACCAGAGGTCAAAGTGAAGAGTAGTAGAGACAGGCATAGTTGAGTTATAAGTGTCAAAAGAGCAGGGTTATTACAAGAGTGGGGGATCCATGGTATGGAGGTGACAGTGGGATCAAAGAGGTCCCCCAACCCTGCTTTCCCTCATATAGCTGATAGGTCCAAGGGTTTATGAGAAAATAAAAGCTTCATTTGAGAGGGCTGCATGGGAAGAAGAGTTCCCAGAAGAGTGCCCCCTTTCAGACAACATAAGGTGGTAGAGGGATGAAGGAGAAGATTGATTTTGGAGTAGAGGTTACTGAGGACTAGTGCAAAGGTTTGGAAGGGAGGACATATGGAGCATTATGGGAACAATGATGAGATGAGGGTAGATACATGGAGTGGTGCTGACTTACTAAAACTGGTTGAGTCGAGGTGTGGTGGGAGGAGCAGAGAAGAACCATCCTGAGTTGGAAAAAAGCTGTTCTTTCTGTTTCAGGTTTTATGTAGCCTTTCTTGGTGACTTGTTTAGGCAGGATAACTCTCATTGTACATCTGGGCTTTCTGCACCCTGTGCCAACTCCCACAACCACATCTTCTGCTCTCTGTTTATTTTTCTAGGTTAGGATATTTAGACATCATGAACAACCAGGGGGTAAGAAGTATTCTCCAGTTTACCTGAGAACGGGACTGTTTTTGATACTCCCTGAACGTTAATGATAGTGTCCAAGCTGCGTTCTGAGAATAAAAATGTGTGCTTCAGTGTATGTTGAAAATTGTTTTGTTGTTGGGTGTCATTGAGTTGATGACTCATAGTGACCCCATGTGACAGAGTAGAACTACCCCGTGGAGTTTTGTAGGCTGTGATCTTTATGGGAGCAGATTGCCAGATCTTTCTCCCACGGAGCTGCTAGGTGTGTTCGTAGCGCCAACTTTTTGGTTGGTAGCTGAGCGATTAACTGTTGTGCCACAGGGCTCCTTCGAAAATTACTTCTCAGTAAAATGATAAATATGTATATATACTTCACAGCCCTGGTGGCACAGTGGTTAAGAGCTCAGCTGCTAACATAAGGTCAGCAGTTTGAATCCACCAGCTGTTCCTTGGAAACCCTATGGGGCAGTTCTACTCTGTCCAGTAGGGTCACTATGAGTTGGAATCGACTCGAAGGAAATGGGTTTGTTTTTGGTTTTACTTCACAGTTACCAAAAAGGTTGCAATCATAATTGCAGTCATTTCAGTGGTTCACTAATTTTATGAGGAATTGCTGTGTAATCATAATAATATTATTGATAGGGGAACAAAGGCTCAGAGAAGTTACTTGCCAAAGACCACACAGCTAGAAAATGTTAGAGGCAGGATTCCAACTCAGGTGTCAAGGCTCTAAATCCCATCCTCTTTTCACTGAGT